TTGGACACAATTAGTCTTGTACAAGAGCATCTAGACACACATGACAAGTTCATTTGGAAAAATGTCAGGGAAAGAAGATAGAGAGAAAAATGTCAAGAAAATGTGAGGGACAACAAAAAACATTTGTTCAAACTCTAAAGAATAAGAGATGTAAAAAATGATTAAACAATAATCTTATTTCATTTTCCTTTGGATTTTCTGCGGTAATAACCAAGCACAAGAAAACTTTCCACATCATCCCCCAACCACTGACTAGCATTTTCCAGGATCCAAACATGCCCAGTGCAATATGACTAAAGACAACCGGGCAAACTTACTTTCATCATCCACAGCTGGATATTCTTCAACTACTTCAACCACTGACCTCTCGACAGAGTTGGACGGCATAGATGCCAGCTGGGCAGGGGCATCTGACACACCTTGAGACTCAGGTGCAGGATTGATAGAAGCTTGGACAGATGGTGCTTTAGCAACCTGTAACTTTCAGCAATTACCAAACATATATATTTGTAATCAAAATCATAGTATCATGCAAACATGCAATCATAAGTTTTTTTTAATTTAAGAAAAACACATACAATAGAAGCATAAGTGTGTTTCTGGGGCTCAGCAATCGGTTCCTCAATTTGGGGAGACAAGTAATCTCGTGACACATTTATTGTACTCTGAAGTGAGCCATTTGACTGGACTGCATAATTGTCTTCAGGGATCTTTTGAACCTCAGATGCTTTTTGCAGCTGCTCTTCTGCATAATGGTAGCCATTGATTTGTCCATTTTCTTCAATCTTTGCCGGATCCACATATTCCCCAGCCGGAATTTCTCCTCCAAGCATGTATTTGGACACTACGGCACAAATTATTTATCGAAATTGGAGAATGATGAGATTATCTAATGCAAAAATATGCAACAAGCATCAATCTTTTGACATTGTGGTGTATAAAAACTACTCCCTCTATCCCACAGTGATAGGATTTGTGTAATTACGTTGGATCAAGAAATAGCAATCTTTATGATTAATATAGTGTTAGATTTTAGAATAAGAAACTTAAATGGGGGTAAACTTGGACATGGAAATTTTAAGGCCAAACCTAAAACAGGGTCAAAAGAAAAGAGGAAGAACATTGTGAGACAGAGGGAGTCATAACTCTCTGGTGTACACTGTACAGCAAATAAAAGTGAAAAAAAATACCTTCATGTGGAAATGCAGTAGAATGATTAAGCTTGTGATTAACGCTGCCCTGACTTAAATAGGTAGCATGATGTGGGGTTATCTTTTCCTCTTCAATAAAGTGAAAGATATCATTGAGGATGAAGTAACCCTTCTCCTGCGGCGCAAGGAAAAAGGTTTGCACAAAATTTCTTCTCCCGCTGAATCCATTTAGATGGACAGAGCCAGAAACCATCACTAAAACACCACCGTTCCATGATTCTAGGGAATGTGCTGTCTTGAGCTCTATCCCGGTGTAATTGAGAGACATGACAAGTGCGTGGATTTGCTATAAGTGTGTAAACAAAACAAAAATGAGTGAATGGATAATAACAGTCAAAGCCAAACATAAAAACTAAAGAAATCAAAGAATGCACCAATTAGTCTGATATCACTAAATAATGAACAAAGAGAGATGGAGGGGATAAAATAAGAATGTCTGGTTTGAGAGTGGAGTTGAAGGCAATGCATAGAAAAGTGCATCAGAAACTGATTGCTTATCCCTCAACTTTATTTTGCAATAAAATAAAAGGACGAACAAAGTATTGTTATTCTGGGCATTAAATCAGGGAACCTATTTGATCCAAATTTCAGGAAAAAAAATAGTGTATAGATCTGCATCAGTAGTATCAGGGAACTTATTTGATCAGGTTATAATCCTTATTTCACAATGGATAATACCTATTCTTAGCTGGTGTGCATTTGGAATGCGAGCAGATTAATAATATTTTAGAATAAAAATAGACTGATTATATTGGAAGCAATTTAGATTGATTAGATTTCAGATCTTCAAAGGATCTGCAATACTCATTCAATATTTCAGATTAGAAATATGCTGAACCATAGTCAAGATGCTTGCTCCTAATTTGTTCTGCTATATTCCATTTTAACTGTAAGTTGTGGAAATCTTAAAAGAATTTCCCTTCTAAGTAATTTCACACTTGAAGGTTCATTAGCTTCTTTTGTCAAATGCTTAACGGAAAACCAATCTTGTGTAGAAGTGTTGGAAACTACAATAGCAGCTCACATGTTGATATTCACTAATAAATCCATCACTATTTGAATATTCATACTTATTCAAACGCTTTTTTAGTCTTAAATCTAAAACCAACCAAAAACTGAAAAGAGTATAAAAAGGTAAGATGCAGTACCAGCATGCCAGAAGCAGCCTCCCTTCCGTTGCCATCAATCCTAATCATGGTGCTAACATTACTATAGAGCTGGTGGGCAAATTCTGGCTGTTGTTGTATTATCTGATAGTACTGTCCTACGAAGTATGAACCAACCTGACATGCAAAACCACCATTTGATACTCATACATGTAAAATATTACTTCACTCAGCTAATAAAATTAAATAATCATCGTGCCCCAATTCATTCCTACCCAATCACCATCACTTTCACAAAGTATGTGAAGAAATATGAAATTCTGATCGCAAGTACAGACACAGCCCAGCTACTGCGTTATACTGATAAGAATATGATGTTACTTATACCGCACTTTCCCTACTGTTTCAGTAATAGATGAATACTTTCAGAAGAAGAAAAGCCTAATGGATATAGCGGGAGGGCAGACCTGTGCAGCGGTAACGGGTAAGGAAAATGGTGTGGCCATGGGGAAGAGGATGCAGAAGCGGCGGCAGGAGGACCGAGGAGGGGCTCCAAAACCCTAGATCTAGAAATGCCGCCGGCGAGATCTGAAGAGTAGACAGCACCCAATCCAATCGCAGATTTCACTTCACATTTCTCGGAAACTGCTACAGCATGAAGAGAGGAAAAGGGAGGCGAAGCCCGGAATTTTTAGCGGAAGGGAAGAACAGAGTAAATCCGCGCGGTGAGATGGATGGAGTGGCGGCGCTCAGTGGCAGTTCAACACAGCACGGCGGCCACTGGTTTCGGAGCCGCTGCGGAGAGCAGCCGCTGGGTAGACTTTGGTTTGGCCCTTTATTAATGTTGGTGTTTCTGGTAGTATAACAAATTTGGGAGTAGTATCCATATCCAAAGGCAGCAAAAGAACAGAAAGGGAAAAATCTTAGAATCCTGGCTGTGGCTGTATTCCCATCGTTTGATGCGGACCGTCCGTTTTTAGCCCCTCGATTTTTCTAATCTTTATTTATCATTACTTTTTTCCCTCTATGTGCAACATCGTTACACGCTAAATTTGGACTCAATTCACTGTGCAATACGTTTTACACACATAAAAAATAACTCACCAGTCACCACTATAAACAATTAAACAAAGTAAAAGGCATACGTAGTAATCAATTGTCAAAATATGAATGCTACCGATGGCCGTAGCTGAACTAGTAGTGAGGAGTGTCACAAGGGTTAGGTACTGAGTTCGAATCCTTATAACTGCGATGAGAGGTTACTGTGCTAAAATATGCATAGGGTCTCTGCACGTACTGGGTTACTATACTATGCTATATTGACCGGTGTAGTTAAGAGTGCAAATTATACTCATATTTAAACATTTTTCAAGTCACATGATTATGTTATTTTCATAAATAGCATGACTAAATAAGAGTAAGTTACAAATCATATTATCATCTTTTGATTAAACAAGCATTAGTAAAGCGGTATTAGTGAAATAATTCACAATATTTTTGAAGCATAAATACTTACTCCCTCTGGTCATAAATAAAGTTCAGTGTTTGACTTCACACAAATTAAGGAAATAAATTTCACTATCCGCACGGGTAGCTCAGTTGGTCGAGTGGTGGGAGATTTTGATCAATAGACCAAGGTTCGAATCCCTGCAGCGATCGGGTGGAGGTCACAGAACCTGAAATAAGGCTAGACCTTTGGTGCGCACGGGTGTATGGGCATACTGTCATTCTACTGACTGAGTCACCGTGACTAACCTCCTCACCACCTTGTCGGGTCATGGTGGGGGGATCCTGGGGTGGGAGATGGACCTTATGGATCAAAGGAAATAAATTTCACTTTACTGTAGAGTACACTGTTGTAACACTGTTTGGCACTGTTTTGCAGATGTAGATAATTTGCCAAATAAAGAAGGGAGAAGAAGTGTGAACTTTATTTTGGACCGGCCCAAAAAGGAAAGTGTGAACTTTATTTAGGACCGGAGGAAGTATTATTTTGAGAATTCACATTAATCTTACTCTTATTTTGACAATTTCTGATATGTGGAGTACCTAAATGCCATTATTTTGTTATATCCGTGTTGAATGAAGGTTTCCTCGAATAGTGTCGAGTGAAGGACTAGTGTGAGTGCATGAAATATGGCGCACCATTAAAATTATATATTTGTTGGAAAACGAAACTCACCTAAAAATTGAAAGTTCAAATGTTTTCATTCGCTATGATGCACATTTGAGTGTTTCTTAAAGACAACGTTCCAGAATCATTCTCATTTATCTTATTAGAGATTGTGTTTTCATTTGAACCAAATTATTTTTATATACACACAAATATATATGATTTGATTCAAATAAGAAAACATCTTAATGTGAGAAAGAACTTTCACTTTATTTCTTTTTTAAGCACTTTTATGTTTATTTGGTGCGCATTTTCACGATTGTAGAAAGTTCGAGTCAAATAAGAACCGCCTTGTTGTTCTTATCGTGTTGAACAACAACAGTTCATCCCTGTTTAAGTATTTTTACACTTTTACATCCATTAGATCTCAAATCCATTCAACCATGCCAGATACATTCTCATTTTTTACAATAAGCAATCTTCTCATCTACACAGGATCAAGTGTCAAACCCATTCTTGTACATCACAAAGTCTAGAGTTGATCTTTTACTAGACATTTTCAGAATCCATGTTAAAATTATTAGAATACCTTAACATTATTGTTTTGAAGGAAATGTTAAAAGTTCACAATGAGAACCCATGGTTTGTGTAGACAACCGCCGTACAACACGATAAGAACAACAACAGTTCATCCCTATTGGATTGTACAAGGCGTCCGATTGATTCTATTGCCAAACCGATTAGTAAACGCATACAATCAACATCAATATCATAATCAAACAAATGCGAAAAAAATAAAATGTTTGATACTTAGCCACACGTGGCAAACACGGGCGCGCAGGCCCCCAACTGTTTTAATGAAAATATTGTTCAAAAATCCATGAGCAGTTTATACATTTGAAATATGAATGGAAGCACGAACCACGTCTTCCTTCTCGATCGATCACCCTAGGCAAAGGTGCAGGTAGTAGGACCCTAGCCACAACCTGAAAAATGTGAGGGCCCCCGGAGGGGTCAGTACTCCATAGAAGTACTAGTGACAAGCAGGCTATATGAAGAATAACTAATGTTTCAGACACGAGACCCAAAAATAGGGTGATACATATATATATATATATATATATATATATATATATATATATATATATATATATATATGACTCATTCATCCGATGATACATACTGTATATATATATGTAAAATACTCGACCCGTAGGTCATTTCATTCAAAGAGTCTTTTAGAGACAAAGTTCTTACCTGACCTTTCTCACCCTTTCCCCGAATGCCTAGCTCACCGGCTACATTCTACATTCATAGTATCCTACCGAGTTTTGGGAGCATTTAGCATCCCGGGGATACTCAACCCCAACCGAGTTTCATGATCATTAAATGTTCCGGGGATGCTCAACCCCAACCGAGTTTCAGGATCATTTGCAGTCCCGGGGATGCTCAACCCCAACCGAGTTTCAGGATCATGTATGGTCCTGGGGATGCTCAACCCCAACCGAGTTTCAGAATCATTTAATGTCCCGGGGATGCTCAACCCCAACCGATTTTCAGGATCATTTATAGTCCCGGGGATGCTCAACCCCAACCGAGTTTCAGGATCATCTAATGTCCCGGGGATACTCAACCCCAACTAAATCCTTACCAAACCCTAACCTGGATATGGCTAACCTTTCGTTCCTTCAACTATGGACAATACCTAGCCCTATAGTCATATAACCATCCTTAGGAACCAATGTGGGCGGGTCCCACCTGAACGGCCCACATTAACCCGCTCAAAACTGCTCGTTTTGAGCATAAACCAATACTCGATCGAGTATCTACCCATACTCGGTCGAGTACAGGAGGCGGTAGCCCCCAAAGCTAATTTTCCATGTATACTCGATCTAGTATCTACCTATACTCGATCGGGTATAGGAGACAGGGGCAATTTTTCAGCAAATACCCGGTCGGGTATATGTCAATACCCGGTCGGGTATGGCAGTTGACTTGGCGGTCAACGCCACTTTTGACCCCCCAAACGGAGTCCGATTAACTTGAAATTTTATACACATATACTTCTTGATGTCCTTGATCCAAAAATACCATTTTGGATCCCTGGATCATCACAAAAAATATGTTATCACATTTTTAATCACCAAACCTACATAACATGCTTTTTAACTATGTTTTATGCAAAATCATGGCATAAGCAAATACTTGATTATCTTTAATCATTCCACAAAACATATCCTTGATTACTTTAGGTAATCTCATGCCTCACACAAAAGTTATAAAGCATAAAGCCGTCTTCTCACCTTAATGAAGCTTATGAAGTCCTAGCCTTCCCGATTTAGCTTCGGTGAAACTCCGGCGAACTTCGACGAACTCCGGCGACAACTCCGGCAACCTTTTCAACTCCGTGAAAGTTCCTTGAATACCTTAGAAAAGTTACTAACAAGGTTTTATCATCATAAAACCCATAGTAATATAAATAACCTTCAAAAGGTTATTTTCCGGCGAACCGGTCCTTTGGCTTCTAAGTCCGTTCTTGGACTTAGAACCACCTTCCAACCCATCTTTCTACACATCCCAACGTGTAGAATAATCCTAGGATGTGAAATATGATTGAATAATCATATAAGATGATTAAAGAAAACAAAATTGGGGTTAATGGAGTCCTTACCTTGCTAAACTTAAGTTTTCCTCTCCAAAACCAACTTTTCTCTTCTCTTTTCCCCTCCTTCTTCCTCCTTTGTTCTTGGTGCGTGAAAGGATGAGGAAATGGAGTATTTTCAGAGTTTCTCTCCCTTCCTTGGATGATTGAACCGAACATATGGGGTGAGTGGTGATTGAGGATGCCATTTTGGCATTTCTCACCAAATCATATGGCAAAGGTCCCACCCTCATATTGATTGGTCTCCCAATCACTTCCCCAGCCAATTCTCAGCTCCATGATGCGGCTCCCCTTGCTATTTTCCAGACCAAGGACGTGGGTTGGCCCCCACTCATGTGGGAGGTCAACCCTTTGTGTACCCGAGTGTACAATCGGTCCCGAAAGTTGTATTTTCCGGATAGTTTTAAATATATTTTATCTTATCGGGTCAAATAAAGTATAACACTTGTTCCCAATCCTTATTGGACCTTAGAATCAATATGATTCCCCAACTTCAATTTAGAAATCTCCGGAATCCCTTTTTGGGCTGTTATCTGATAAATTGCCGATACCGATAATTTGGCTCCGTTTGACCAACCGGTCAACTATATGCCATTTCCATGGCCCAATTAGGATATCCACCACCACATTCATATTATCTAGTCCAAGATTAATATAATATGTGGTCCCGATAATATCGAGCGGCCCCCACCTCCGGTGTGGGCCCCACGTGAATTTTACTATTCACGTAAAAGAAATGATAAAAATTTACAATCACGTAAAAACGCTTTTATACATTTCTCAGGGTTCAATACATAATTCGATGAAGTACAAATACTTGGGGGCGGTGTTACAATGATGATTCGGAGGTCTTCTTGACGAGACGCACCTTCTAGTATTTTTCTTTTAATTTTTCGGAGACTTTTGAAAATCAGAGTTAATTTTTCTAACGGCGTTAGATGTCATGTCCCAGCTGTGATAACGAAATTGAAACACATGTTCCACTTTGTTAAAAAATGAAACACATGCCCTTATCTAAAGAAACGGTTCAAATCACATATACGTTTTCTGTACTTTTCTCATTTTTATATCACACAAGAATACAGTGCATTAAACTCGGATGTCCTTAACTTGAGCCAGCTCCGTTTAAACTACTAGCAGTGCCGGTCCTAGAGGGAGGGCAGCAGGGGCGACCCGCGACCGCCCTAGGCCCGAAAAAAAGTAGAAAGAAAATTAGGCCAAAGTTTAGTTCCTTATATGAAATCTGAGCAGGCTTCTTTTTTATTTATAGTTTCAATTAATTAATTAAGCCTAATGTGTAATTTTTGTTGACAATTTAAAAATTTTAAAACATAAGTAAAAAGTCTTGAATGGACTAGACAAGTGTTAAAAAAGAATGTAAATTTAGTTTTGATTTTTAAATAGAGTTGGTTGTCCATTAACAATTTCAAATATGTATTTCAAATAATATGAAGGTGAATTTCATTTTTATTTTATAACCTTTATTTTTTTATCGTATTTTATAACCCTTATTAGATAGTTGTAGGGGGGATTCCTGAAATAGAAGTTTTTTTTTTAGAATTCCAAAAAAAGACTGTCATGTGTTTATTTTATGAATAAGAGTAATTATTGTCATGTTCGGAAAGTATTATCATGTGTAAAGTATGATACTGTCAAAATATGATAGTAATTTTTTTGCGAGGCAAATATGATATTAATTACTTCTATTTAGGTAATAAAATAGGATAATCTTAGTTTGGAATATAAACACGTTTTAGTCATATTTAGAGTAATTTCTCATAGTTTTATTATACTCCATAATATTTACTTTAAGTAAGTATAATTTTCTTTTTGTCTTGGAAATAAGGCCAAAATAGTATATCGCTCATAAGTCCAAAACTGGACGGGACCGAGCCTGACTACTAGAGTGTGTTGGAATAATATTCCCAGCGATGACGTTGCATGAAGTGATCATGGCTTTCTATAATGCCATGTTAATTTATAGAGATCTAAAATTGTCCAAATAGGATTATCCACTATTTCCATTCTATTATTTAAGTTCACAAACTTTTTTTGAAAGGAAATTGAATATATTCATATCATTAATTTCAGGATCGTTACATTAATCAAATAAAAATCATATCTGACATCAACTAACTTTCACCAACTACGTCTGTAAGCTCTATGATTAGACATTAAAACTGTCATACCTGAAAGAGCAACACGAATCGCTAAACATGAAACGGGTTTGACACAACTATCATTGGTCTTATAGATCCGTATACTTCTAACGACATAAAAAACTACATTTTCGATCATCCTGACAAACCTAGTAACATAGACTTTAACAAGAATCCAAATACAGAGTACAAAATAACAATATCTAATACGGAGTAAGATAAATTTCTTGAACCCTAGCTCCTCGTTCGACCAATGACAATGGTTCAGAAGGAGGTCGGGGCATTAGTACTCTTGTGATTGATCCTCCATCATTGGCAGAACCCTGATCTTCCCAAAAATTGTCACCCTCCAACCCTCTATGTCCAGTACTCATAGCAAAAACCGTCGCTTGATGTCATCTTGATCGCAGCACCGCGACCTCTCACGGCAGAAACAAGACCTCCGACCAAGGTTTCCGCCATGCCCACCTCGTCACCTTGCATCCTATGTCATTACGTTGAAGTAGAGAGAAATCAAAACACTGAAATTTCTAAATCGCCGATGAAGAAATCTTCACAACTTCGGAACCTATTCCGCTGACGAGGTGCACACTTCCGTTTTAGTCTCGTTGTGATCGCACAAAGGAGATCGGCAACAACAACAACAACAACAACAACCAAGCCTTAGTCCCAAAAGATATTGGAGTCGGCTAACATGAAGATCGCACAAAGGAGATCGGCGAAAGAAAAAAAAAGAAACACCATCAGGGATTCATCCCTCCGCTCTACTTAAGTTTATATACTAAAAGTATTATATAAACATGTTTATTTTAAAATTTGATCAATCTCGTCATTTATCCCGTTTTCACATGTTATAAAGGTTATTTACTTATTTATATGCCAAAGCTTAAGACAATGGGGGGTTTCCCCAAATATTACTAAATTAAAGACAATTTCCGAAAATGTGACTAGTTTTCAATATTGAAAAAAAGGAAATTAACAATGTCATGTAATTGGAAAAACATGATGTGACTGTGATTGTTTCGTGTCACTGCGTTTTTGTCATCTCACCACAAATTGTCGCTATTAGTTTTTCACACCAGGAACACCATCTCAGTGACACCGCCGCCGGTGACACTGCTGCCAGTGACACCGTCACAGTGACACTGCCTTCAGTGACTCCAGTCACAGTGATATAGAGGTTAGCCCCGGTGACATATTGATTCTGTCCAGCGACCCCACCACCGCCCCCACCTCTCCGGTAACCACCACCGATCAATGACCGACGACGTCCCGCCCCACCCAATTTGGCAACTCCGCCTGTCAATTAACTGCCGCTACCGCTCCTTCTAGTCACAGCTAGCTTCTGCCCCTTCTGGCCACCGCCATGCCCCTATCCCTCCCCAGCCCACCTAGCCAGTAATAGCCCCCACCAGCCCAGCCCCGTTTCAGCACCCTCTCATGCCCCAAACGCGGCCAGGTCTGCCAACATTGATGGCGAAGCTGCACTGCCCCCAACATCGACATCCATCCCCACCAACCCGTCGCCGGCAGTCCCCATTCTCGAACAACCATGCTCCACCCCTTCCCTGGCCTTCCCAATCAATATTTCATCGCCGCCAACCGCCAATTTGAAACCCTAGAGTCCGGTGTGAAGAAAACGATCTAGGAGTTCTAGATCTAGCTAGTAGCAGATGTTTATGGACAGAAGAAAGGAGAAGAAAAATCAAAGGATTGTCGATGACGAAAGCGGGGACCAGTCCGGACGGCGGAGGAAGAGAGCAGTAGATGTGACGGCGAAGTTGAAGGCGTTGCTGATGGACTTCGTCGCCATTTGCCATCTTCGAACTAGATGTGGCGGTTGAGGAAGACACTGGTTCGGAGATGAAGGAAAAAGTTACGTTCATTGTTGGAGAAGATGAAGCGGACAGCTAGGCTGGAAGATAGAAGGAAAAACTTGGGTTGATCTATTAGGGTCACTTTTTTTGTCTAATTTAAAAAGCTCATATTTTTGTCTTTCAACAAGCTATCAGTAATACTTTGGTCCTTATTTCTAAGACAATTACATGATTGATTTTTTGTGTTTCTAATTTATTGTATTTTCCAAATTTTATATTCCAAAACTTGTAGGGATATGATTAGTGAAACCATATTCCAAAATGTATGCCTAGAAATAATTTAAAATTAAAAATAAATACCACCCTCCATCATCCAAAATTCCCCTAACCGGGAATCTTATCCATTGTCCATTCTCTGCATTCTCATTGGCCATTGTCATGCCACGTCAACAAACGAAACACGACAGCCCCTTCTTCTTCACCCACAACTCACTCTTCTTAGCTCTCTTCTCCGCTTAGTCCTAGCAACCCGAACAGCCCACAACCACAGCAAACCAGCAACCGGAGTAATTTTCCGGCGACATGGCAGCCACCGCCATGGCATCCTCATTCTCCACATCCATTCAAAACCTCAACTGCAGCCGCCCCAAGAACAGGGCCACCGCTTCCGACCAACTCCCCAGGCTGCACGTTTCCATCAAGGCATCATCGCAGATTCCTTTATCACTGCAGTCCCACTTTCTCGGAATGGTCCGGTGCTTGTTTACTCCCGCCGCTGCCGTCTCTCCTAAACGCAGAGTATCTAGGCTAGCCGTGGCGGAAGAAGCTGCTGCGACGGGAACAGAGGAGGAGGAAGAGGAGGAAGGGGAAGAAGAACAAGAAGAAGAGGTGGACGGAGAAGAAGCTGCTTCGACGGGAACGGAGGAGGAAAGTGCTATTCAAAATTTAAAGCTTTATTTTGGGAATTTGCCATATAACTGTGACAGTGCACAGCTTGCTGGCGTTGTTCAAGAATATGGTAGCCCTGAGCTTGTCGAGGTACTTAGTACTAATTTCTGCAGATTAAATCAATTAATTTGAACTAGTGCATCCTGCAATTAATTAATGATGCTCTGAAAATATGCATTTCTTTAATTTTATTATCATCAGATCACCAATACATAACACTCTTCAACTCAAATAGTACAACTGGGGAGTAGAAAATGGGCAAACCAATCCCTAAAAGATTACCCAAATCAGACCACATTGTATTAAGATTTAGAATTCCACGAAAAAAGCTACTCTTATTTCACTATTTCACATGCTTATATAATGATTACTCTGTATTATTTTATATGGGGTTTTTTAAAAACAAGGGAGAACTGGAGAAGTACTTTAACAATTTGGAATGATAGAATGAATTACCAGAAATAAGAAAATTCGTGGGAATTGAGGTGTTAATCCAAATGTGTCCTTCAACACAAGGAATTCTCGACTTTGTTTTGCTCCAATGCTACTGTGGGAGCACAGGGCTTTCACTGCAACATACTCCGTATATAATAGTGACAATGTGACATATGGGCACGAAGACGGTTGGATCTAGAGGCGGATCTACACTAGGAATATGGTGTAACACCGTGTCCCAGGCTGGGTGTTACATATATTGCCGAACCACGGCATCCAAAACTCTTTAATTTTTTTTTAATGTAAACTTTTTCTTTTCATTCAACTTACTTCAATATTTTTTCAGCCTAGTATACAAACAAAGCCCAACATGAATTCTCAGCTCTGCCACTGGTTGGATCCACTCTCTTTGATGCACATCCAGTGGGCAGATCCAAGGGGGGGTCAGGGGGGTCAGCCGACCCCGCTGAAAGTTCAAGAATGTAGAGCTCTGAAATACCTTCGGTTTGATATATTATGGGTACCGTAACTCATTACGAGTAAAAAGTTATGACTTATGGAAAAATCAGCACCATCTTAACTTGAAATAAGCAAAATTTGATGTGTGACGTTGATTATATTCTTAAATTTACAAATAAAATAGCTTATTCAGTCATTATTTGTGTGAACATTATGATACATTACATATATATCAATACATTAACCGAAAAAATCTCATTAAACTACCATTTATCTCAACTACATATGAAACATTTAACTCAAGCATTGTATAATAACTATCCATCATTTTGATACCGTATATAATTAAATTTCGACCCCCCTCACACATTTTTCTGGCTCCGCCTCTGTGCACATCCCAAGGAGAGTGTGTGATCTAATTATTATGGTTGGACCCTCATTAGTAATCTCTTTAAGAGTTAATATATAGCCATGTATTTGTGTGTGATCTAATTACGATGGTTAGGCCCTCATTAGTAATGTCTATAACAGTAATATCTAACCATGTATTTGTGTGTGTAGGTTCTGTATGAAAGAGAAACAGGTAAAAGCCGAGGATATGCATTCGTGACAATGAGTTCTATAGAAGATTGCCATGCAGTTATACAAAATCTTGATAGAACGGTAAGAAACCTCATATTTTGTAATACGTAACAGGTTAAATAGGGCCAAAAGTTTTTATTAGGCCATAGTTTCATTTTGAAAGGTCTATTTAGTTACACCTTATGAGGATATATTCCAGGAACTTGGAGGTAGAATAATGCGGGTGAACTTCTCAAACAGGCCTCAACCAAAGGACCCTCTATATCCAGAATCCGATCACAAACTGTTTGTTGGCAACTTATCCTGGACTGTCACATCTGAGATCCTATCAGCTGCATTTGAGAAACATGGTAATGTGGTCGGAGCTAGAGTTCTGTATGACGGTCAGACTGGCAGGTCCCGGGGCTACGGTTTTGTTAGCTACGAAACTCAAGAGGAGATGGAAAATGCACTCAGTTCTATGAATGGAGCGGTATGCACGATATGAAAAATGCTAAAGCACTGCTTTTAAATAACAACACCAATTACGCGCTAGGACCTAGGGGTAGACATGGTGCTGGTTCAAATCCTGAAATATGAGAGCCGTAATCAAACCAGTGGGTATATAGCTCCAGTTAGTAGGGACCGGAACTGGCGATTCCAGTTCCGGTCCCAGCTTTCTGATCGTCTTTGTTTTTTATATCAAGTGCAATAATTTGCCTAACTACATCCATTGGGGCGGGGTGTGATGGAGAGACAGGAATCCAAAATTTGTCAAACATTTGTTTGGACCAGTCCTCCTATTCACAGTACCAACAACCATAACAATCCTTATCCACCCCTAGTAACACATAATAAATTTTTTTTAAACAGTTGGTTCAATGACTTTTAGGTCATTATACACATTTTAGTTCATGAATCTTCAGCACTTTAGGCACGGCTGTGGATTCATTGCCATTGTTGGTTTATCTAAGTATCCAACCATTATTGAATTAATATCAATACAATGTTAGTTGGTTTCAGGAAAGTGTCTAATTAGTGATGAAAACTAGCAAGAAATCTTAGGTACACAGCAAAGCTGGAAAAAAATAAATTAAGAAACAAAACTGGAATAACCTAATACGGAGTAGTTGTTATTCTTAGCATTAATGTATATTGGTATAGTAACTTGGCGTGTAGCACTTGTTAACCGGTGGTCATGGGTGTAAATAGGTGGACACCACTTTGGATCTCGGCCCATCCCAAGTTTAGTAAACATATTTTTTCATCATGTGTATAATTTTACTTACAAAAACTTATATGAATAAACTATTTTTCCAACTCCCCCACAAATTCAAATTCTCGGACGTTCTGTCTGGTGTCTTGGTGTTTCTCATGTATTGCCCACAAAGTATATTGAATCACTTACATTATGATGAAATTTACTTGGATTAGTTTGCAACATCCGCGCTTATATTTTTCTAATTACAAAATTCAAATGTCATAGGAATTGGAGGGAAGGGCACTACGCGTCTTCTTGGCAGAAGGCAAGAAAGAGTAATGGTGATTGCATTTTGTAAATTTCTGAACTGCAAAAATGAAAGTTGTTATTTGATTGGCAATATAATTGAGGATTCTGGTGGAATGGTTACTCTTTTACTAGAACTAGAATACACACCACATTTCTTGCAGAATGAAATGGTTACTTGGTGGCCATTTATTGTGTACTTCTCAAAATTTTCAATTATGCTTCAAGAAGCTTCTGGAATTGCAGACAATCCTCAAGAGCAGTTCAAAGATGTGCTGATTTTATGGTTGTGATTTGAGTACATAAGTGAGTTTATAAGTGGCTATTTGAATAAAGGGGTGAAGAGAGGAAGGTCTTAGAGGGGTTAAGCTTATATCTTATGGAATCATTTGTTTCGCACATCTAATCTGAGAAGTGGTAAGTGCTTCAAAATAAAAATGACTTATGCAAATTAAACATTGGGTTGTTTGGTGAAACTATATTCATTGGTATATTATTGAGTTTTACAAAGTAAATGTTAGTGTTTTGTAAAGAAGTATTTTTGATATATTATTAGAGTGAAACGTTAAAGAAAAGTTCAAAAGCAGTTTCAAACAGCACCACTTTTGCATATAGTTTTCAGCTATAAAGTGCTTAAAAATTAAGCTGAACCCATAACTTAAAAAGGCTACTGTCTTTTTGTAAAAGCAATAAGCAGTATTGCTTAGGAAACACCTATAACAAACACAGGCTTGTAAAGTTGTACTACCTCGTTTCCTATTATAACTTCCAAATAGGTTTGTCACATAATTTAAGATAATGGGTATTGTGTGGTGGAGAGTTGTGCAGAGGAGAGAAATGTGTAAGAAATGTTGTGAACCACAAATTCTTTACCAAAAAGGGAAAATGGAAGTTTCAATTGAAACGGACGAAAAAGAAAAGTTGGAAGTTATAATAGGAACGGAGAGAGTAATTGCTACTCCCTCTACTCCCTCCGTCCCAATTTGATAGTCTCATTTCTTTTGGGCACAAGTTTTAATAAAGTGGTTGAAAAGGTAAAAGTCGTGGTTAAGATTTGAGTATAATAAAGTGAAATGATATGGAGCACATCTTTCTTTACAAAAAGGGAAACAGAACCATCATTTTGGGACATCCCAAAAAGGAAATACGGGACTATCATTTTGGGACGGAGGGAGTATAAGATATGATGAAATCTATTACACTTTAGTTATTTCATGCTTGCTCATATAATGGGAACAAGAAGCTGCTTCAATTATACGAGTATTTCATAAATAACTTCAGCTGGTAAAGACTATCTTCAAACCAACAAATAAAATGATCACTCTTGCAATTCCAGAATCACCCAAGTCCCTTAATTCTAGCAGATGTTGTTCCTTTTCCCAATCTGGACCGATCACCTCTAACCATCCTCCCTTTGATCTGAATCCCAGTCTCACCATCACCTGGACTTTTGACATCTTTAGCCTTTAAAGGGCTTCCAGCTTTGTTCGTTCTAGGAATTGTTTTGCATTGAACCCCTCTACTTTGACACACGTTCTGGTTTCTCAAACTGGGACGCAATCTAGCTCTCACCTTGTTACTACTTCCTATAATTTGATCATTATCTGGAATTGAAATAATATAAAAACAGAAAAGAGGGGGGATGCATGTTAACCATCATTAGAATCAACTGAGCATGGAATTTATTTTTGATGAATTAGACCTACTATTTTTTAAATGTCAACAATTTAGTCATTAAGTCCCCATAAACCGAAAAAATGCTGGAAAAACACTACAACAACCTTTGCTCTTCAAATGCATTTTTGACATTTTTTATTTAGAAAAAACACAAGTTACCACCAAATCATTGAAACCCCATTTTGAGCAGAATTTTGAAGTTTTATAAATTTTTGTGGGTTTTTTCGGACTAAATTTTTGACATTTTTGGAGCTAATGGTCTATATTACCAAATAAAAGAATCTAAATGGACTAGTTTTTCAATGCCATATAATTTAGGGGACCAAAAATGAACCTTTACCAATAATTGTACCTGGACTGGATAAGACTGCTCGTGGTCTTGGGACTAAACTAGCTCTCGTCGTTGTTTCGCTGCCACTTGAAGTTTTTTGGCTCTTGGTATTTGTTGCTTCTGCCACAAATCTTTATAAGTTAAAATAAACTCAAACACCATATAAGAGCTATGTAAGTTCGGAATATGTGATACTTTAGTAGTTTAACACATCTGAACAATTGCTTTTGTTATCAATATGATCATAACAGAAAGCAAGATATTTTCCGTTGTATCATAAAAATTAAAAATACCAAAGGCAAGCTAGAAAAAAGTGTAACCTGTGGGCAAAGGGGTTGGAGGTTTGGGTGAACTCGAGATGTACGGCGTAGGAATCCTTACAACCGAGGTTGGAGAATCATCTTTGCATCAAATAAGAAAACCACAAAGTCAGATAACATATTTAAGGATTTCAAAACACAACAAAAGATCGAAAGATGCATATATGTTTGTGCATTCTTAACCAACATGACTTCCATACAGCTTTTGGAAGACATGAAAAATTGTTATGTTATCACTAAAACAAAAGTAATGTCGAACCAGTTTTATCTTTGGTTATTATTATACAGGTAACAATGACATAAATAATATATTTAAATATTACTCGTATATTCTATGCCTGATCATCCACATGACCAGACTATGGTGTAGCCATGTTTAACATTGTATAGTCACTCGATTTTGCAATTAGAAATCAAGCCGAATGTGATTATAAGATTTCTTCAGTTTGGAAGTTGGTTTTTGGAAAGCTAGAGATTTTGTAAAATTACAGAAATGATAAAGTAATATTTTCAATGGCACTTCATTCGTTTTAAGAAACATTCTATTTTTCCAGATATATCTACACATGATTTGTCTTAAAGGAGTCAACACCTAAAAAGCAGCATATCTTGCAGAATCTCCTAAGAGTATTCATACACTAAATACAACATTTATGCCCAAATATATATTTGTTAAGTACTTATCTCAAAATAGTTGAAACAATTAGAAACCACTATATAAGATCATGGACTACTCCTATTAGTATGACCATTTAGATTGAGATTTCATGACTTAATATGCTATTAGAATCAAATTCAATTGTGATTTGCTTGCTCTTTTTGCCCCTATGATTTATAGTAGGCTATTTAGGGTATGCTTGACCTTGAGGAATGTATGGTTAATGCCTAATGGTAGGCTGTTTAGGGTATCTTTGAGAGTGCGTTGAAGTATATATACCACACCGAGTTGATATTAAATAATAAATCACTATATAATATTTTAGGTTAGTCCCTCTAATGAGTGTGTGTAGATAAAATACGATCGGCCCATATGACTATTGACTAAGCCCTCCATAACTCTTCATCCAAAGAGACCCCAAGTTCATTAACTGGGCACAATGTAAATATCATGGTCATCAGGAGATATAGCCAAAATCCTCTCTAGCAATGGATTATGAGAGAGAAACTCTCACCAGTAAGTAACTCAGCAGAGAAATTAGGACAATAAAATTCTCTTAGTAATAGTGATTTCATACAATGGATGAGAGATCAAAGGTATTACCTGAAGAAGATAAGACAGAGAGGGAAATTGCTTCAAAAGCTTTTAAGGATTCCAAAGAGCCCAACCCATAGGCATACCACCTATCATCATCTCCTTCTTCTTGATCCCTCACCTTTACCTTCGGATACACTAAAAGGAAAAACAAAATTCCACCTTATTAAATAATAATAATAATAATAACAATAATAATATGATAAAAAAGAAAGAAACCAACTTGATCTCTTCTTGTCAAGAATTGCTAGTTGTGCGAAGAGATTGAAACCCAATTTCAGGTTTTCCAGAAACTATGATGAGTTTGGGGATAATAATAAACATATAGAAATCCCCGTGGGAATGAATGGGAATGGGAGGAAAGAATGATTATAGATTGGAATTGGAGGGAGCTGTAGAATTTCTGACTTTTGAATAAAGCCAAGAACAGTCGGCTTTGAATGGGCCATACCCGTCTTCGGAAAAATTTTCAAGAATCTGATTCCCAACGGTAAGGTCCAAGTCCGGAGAGCTGCCGTTTGAGAATTCCTTTTGTTTCCGTTATTGTTATCTTTTGACAATTTGACCCAAGGGTCGGTTGTAGTTCCTATAAATTACTTACTCCGTCCCCCTAACTTTGTCCCGTTTTACCTTTTCCCACCGTCCCATTAAGTTTGTCTCATATCATATTTGATAATATTTGAGTGGTTAGAATTCATTCTTTATTCACACTTTATCAATTCAATATCAACCACACAATTCCACTTTTTCTTAAAAATCACACCACATCCCTTTGTCCCAAACTTAGGGGGCGGAGGTAGTATTCGTTATCTAGTACTCCCAATATAAGAGTTTTGCTAGAGGTGCCCTAAAATGTACCTCATTTTTAGCTCACTCCCTAATGTGTGGTCATGAATGAGTCAATTCATTTAAGTCGTGCTCCACTTAATTGAATTGTCCCATTTATGGCCACACATTAAGAAGTGAAGGTAAAAATGTGATACTCCCTCCGTCCCTTAAAACTTTGTCATCTTTCCTTTTTGGGACGTCCCAAAAAACTTTGTCACTTTTCCTTTTAATCAATTATTTTGTGGTTTCTGTTATTTCTCTCTCCTCTGCACAAACCTCAACCACACAGTTTTTATTTTATTATTCTCCGTGCCGGTCAACTTTGGCAAAGTTTTAAGGGACGGAGGTAGTACATTTTAGGGCACCACATTTTAGGTTTACCGGGTCAATTTACTTTAATGTCAATAAAAACCCATATGTCTTAAAGTGTACCATATTTTATGCAAATGCAATAAAAACACTAATGTCAATAAAAACCCATATGTCTGTTTCAGGTTTAGGGGGTCAATTTACTTTGTATGAAATTGTGTACTCCTATTATGTGTTTCAGTCTGACTCTATGTCTATTTTTAGGATTCACGATTGAATATGTAAAATCTGTCCGAGAGTTATCTTGTATGCAATCTCGTTTTTAATATAAAACCGCTATTTTATGATATAAAAAAATTAGGTTTGACCTCATTAGATCAAGTTCGACCAGGTTGAATGGTTGATCTCTTCGATATGAGGGTCTATAGACAAGTAGAACCATTTGACCAAAGGATGTGAATGGAGTGGGGAAAAAACTTTTTTGAGGGTACTTTCAAAAAAACTTTTTTAAGGGTACTCTCAAGAAAAACCTTTTCACTTTTCAGGGACATTTTAAAATTTGTCCTAAATTTCGTAGGGGTTTGCTTGGGTTCTGGAGTGATGCTGTTGTGCAGAGGTGGACGGAGGTTGGATCAGAAGCTCCGGTGCTTCTCTACCATCGTGCGCAACCGTGCGGAAGATGAAGGAGACTGGCTCTACTCTTCCGAGTGGTGGGACAGCTCCGGCACCGATGGCAAAACTGTTTTCCGTTCGCTTTCCGACAAGGGAAACGGCGAAGTTTCTGTCATAGCTTACCCCTCTTCTAAACCTGTACAGTCTTGTCTTCCACAAACTCTCACCCTCTTGTAATTTTCTTGACATTAAAGTGTTTTTATTGCATTTGCATGCGTTCATTGTTCTCTTATTCTAAAGCATTCCTTACTGAGTGATTTCATGTCTGGTCAGTTTGATGCTATTGGGAAATCTGTGGCTAAGAGCGTTGATTTCTGAATTAGACTGAAAGAGATTATTCAACGTTTCTTATATATGTTTTCAGTTTGTAAGCATTGTGATCACTGTAAAATCTCCTTCCCTGATGTAGAGGACTAGAAAAGGAGAAGATTAGTCATTCAACACACTATTTTCTCGGTGTTCTTTATTTATTTGAAAATCCTTGTTTTTAGTTTTTTTCAAGAATTACCACAGACTTAGCTGGTCATTTTGAGATCTTGTTATAGATTGTTAGTACTGATACATTCATTAAGGGTTCATTTAGAACTCGGTGAATACTAGTGATAGAAAGAGAGGAAAATTGGGAGGAAGAAATTTGAGAAAAGAACAGACAAGCTCAAACTCAATAAATTTGTTTTAGATATTTTTTCAAAAACATGCTTTTTATTTATACTATATGCACACTAAGTAATCTAAATAAAGGTAATGAAACATAAACGTATTAATCATATTTCATTTTTCTTTGAAATTTTCATGCAAACTAAACATAAAAAATTACATTCCGTAATATTTATTCTAGGACAAAGTTTACTGGGGAAGAACAGAGAATTGGCTACAAGAAAGGTATCATGAGATACATTCAGGCGACAGTAAGCATCAAGCAAATTTCAAGATTCTTGGTTATCAGTGGTGCGCTCTCCGCTTTAATGAAGATACTCGCCAGAGCACTGTTAAAGTAATGGCTTTTTACAGAGAGTCAGATCCTGATTCTATACTCTTGATGCAGCAGCCACATTGTCTGGCTATTCCATGTAAGACAGTGTGTATATTGTATGATGTTGAATTGTTTTTATGGATGAGAGGTTTTAGCAATTACAACAACACCTACTTTTGCATATTCAATACAGCTACTCATCTTTTTCATATTAATATGCAAGGAGTGTGTGATTCAATGGAAATGAGAGGATTTAAGGATTTGAAGGTCACTATGTTGAATTGAGTTGTGTATGTGTATCCACTGTTTTATGTGATATGGGCAGTGAAGGTAAAAGAACCAATTTAATGCATCATTTGCTTGTTTGGTACTCACTCCGTCCTTTTAGGTCACATTTGATTTTGCATTATACATTCTAAATTCTGATGAATGTTTCGATTGATATATTTTAGCAAATTTTACTAGCTCTGTCCCAATTTGATGATCCTGTTTCTCATTCTCGTGGTCAACACAAATCACTCTTAATCTTTTACTTTATATATCAACCTTTATCAAATTTGATTTTTCTTTTTGCGGCTTTGTAAAACATTTAATGTAGTTTCTGAATATGAAAATTTTATTTACTAAAAATAATTTGAGTGTAGACAGGGATCCGTTTGCTTTATCGTCGGTCAAACCTCGCAAACCGCAATCAGACCATCAAATTGGGACGGAGGGAGTATATATTATGTGGCTTTGTAAGGGGGTGTTGGATCTACTTCTTAAAACTGCTTCTACTCATTCAGGGAGCAGAAGCAGATATCGGAGTGTTTGGGTGAAAGTGCAGAAGTACTTATGCAAGCTCCAAAATGCTCCCAGAAGCAGTTTTTTAGAAGCTGGGGGAGACCAGTTTCTGAAAACTGATTCTGATTTTACTTCTGCTTTTTAAAAAGAAGCAGAAGCAGAATCAGTTCCAAACACCCCCTAAGAATGTTACATATTTATACTTTCGCATTATAAATCAATTTGCAAAAAAATATGCTCCCTCTGTCCTTAAATTATCATCATAGCTTGACTTTCGGAAAGTTTATATATAGTGACATCGTCCATAAATTATATGAAGCTATATTACTCTATAATGTAAAAATATTCTTAACTGATTTGATTTTGCTTATATTTTTAACTTTAACTTATTGTTGTTTTTGTTTGTATACAATAGCGAATTTTTAAGGTAAAAAATAGACATTAAAGACAGTGAAAAGTCACTATCTATTATTGGTCAAATTTCAAAACCTTTTACCAGAAAAATCAAATCAACCTATTAAATTGGGATGGGCGTAGTATTAAACAAATGTGATCTCAATATCTGAAGAGACAGGAGTAATACCTAAGATTGATTGATGTGTCTTTTGCGTACATTATGGAAGTTATAGCCTTTGTAAGTACTCTGTATGATTCTTTTAGTATTTTCATGATGCTTGTAGATGTAAAGAGTATGATTTGTTCTGGGCTGGCTACAATCTCATCTTGTAACTTTGATCTTCATAAAGCTATATGTGGGGCAAATACGATGAATATCTTATGCATTGGTCATGGTGGAGGAAGTATACCACTCTTTTTAGCAAGTAAAATTAAAGGTATGTCAAGGACAAGATATTGCCAGTAAATAATCATATCCTTAAACTTGTTAAGTGCAAAAGTACCTTTAATTTTTCATCTGGTTGGGTGCAGTAAATCTTATCCCTAGGATAGTAAGTTCAATATACTTTACCCGGCAACCAATAGATTACCTACTCTTACATTTAACTGTGTTATGGTATAATGATTGGATTGATTGCTTACAGCTCATCCTTTGACAATATTAATAAGCAATTCCTGAAATAGGAGTAGAAACAATGTCCAATTCCAAAACATTAGTACTATGTATTTATTCTCTAAATAAGAGTAATTTAGTGTCATCCTGAAATTTTACTACCATATTTTGGCATTATCCAGCTTTAATATAACAGTATGATTGCCATAATTGGTAATATTTTCCAAGCATGGGAGTAATTACTCCTATTTTTGAATAAAAACATAGTGCTCCTGTTTTGGAATTGCACATAACCACATTGTTTTTACTCCTATTTAGGGCAATTTCTTTATTAACAAACTATAAATGCCTTTAGCAGAAGTTGAGTTCTGTATCAGTTTTCCGGATATCATTGCATACTTGCATTTGTTAGTTATCAAGTAAATGAATTTGAAATGTATTGCTGTTAAGCTTGACATGACATGGGCTAAGTTTGGTAGCCGTTATCACCATATTCTGCCCTCAGCCAGGATAAGTAGCCTTTGGCTTTCTTATTTGGCAGAAATCGGTTCTACCAAACGTTTTCCCGTCCAGAAAATTGAGCAGGTTCAGCCATATATAGCTAAATAACTCTTACTAAACAGGCCTCTAGCTTTTTTGGTACTACCCAACGTTTTTCCATTCAGAAAATTGAGCAGGTTCAGCCATATATAGCTAAATAAGTCTTACTAAACAGGCCCTAGCTTTTTTTTGTATGAACTACGATCGTTCCTAGCTTCTTAGTTCTTAGTTATTTCATCTTCCTCAGTTTTTCTATAGAATGTGTTGTTTTCATTACTTTTTCCTGGCATGTGACACTATCGATACAATGG